CAGCGCCACCTGAGTATTAATAAAAATACTCTGGTGGAACCCAGGGTAAGCACTTGAAACTCCCAGCATCTTGCACCAGTCAGAGATCTGGGGTGGCATGCAACACTAACCTCCAAACACTTTATATGATGTAAGGTAAAGGTAAAGGGACCCCTGACAATTAGGTCCAGTCGTGGCCAATTCTGGGGTTGCGGCGCTCATCTCACTCTATAGGCTGAGGGAGCTGGTGTACAGCTTCCGGGTCAAGTGGCCAGCATGACTAAGCCGCTTCTGGCGAACCAGAGCAGCGCACAGAAACGCTGTTTACCTTCCCGCCGGAGCGGTACCTATTTATCTACTTGCACTTTGAGGTGCTTTTGAACTGCTAGGTTGGCAGGAGCAGGGACCGAGCAGTGGGAGCTCACCCCGTCACAGGGATTTGAACCGCCAACCTTCTGATTGGCAAGCCCTAGGCTCTGTGGTTTAACCCACAGCACCACCTGTAGAATTCCTTTATTACATATACAGCGGAACCATCATTTTCAAGAAAAACCCTTGTCAAATCTAAGGCAAATCTAAAACCAGACTTGATAATCTGATAGAGCTGATATTTTTTTACTTGGACTTTTGTTATTTTAACACATGTACAACTGTACTCATCCTACATGCCTATTTTATAGTTTAATTTTAATTTTATCATTTCAATTTTCAGCTGCTGCTAAAATTGTTCTACCTGTTTTAGATACATTATAAAATGAAATTTAAAAAACGCACACCAACCCCCAACCTGGGGCTTCTTGTCATTATGGTGTTGGAAGCCTGCAGCCAATAGAAGGAATGATGCGCTTGCCACAATATATTGAGGTTCTATGAAAGAGCGTTATTCCAGATCTGGAAAAGAGGTATCCTGGCGGTACTGTGATATTGCAGCTGTACCTAGCTCCCTGTCACACATCGAAAATGGAGAAGAAATTCGTGACAGAGTAGCAAATACAGGTACTTGATTGGCCAGGGAATTCCCCGGATGTAAATCCCACTGAGAATTTGTAGGCTATATGCAAAAGTCGCCTCCATGCTGTAGACTGTGCGACTATGGAGAAGCTCATTCAGGCACTGATTCAAGTGTGTTATAGGAATCCGACAATCAACAGTGACTGTTCGAAACTAGTAGACTTTATGCCAAACCGTGTTCAAATGCTGCTTAAAAATAGCGGAGGTCATATCCGTAACTAATGTACATATATGTGAGTTTTGTACATCTATATGTGAATTTTGTACAATAAACTACATTGTTGGTTTAAATTAATTTGCACAAGGGTGTACACACAAACAGTTCCATGATAGTTTTTGAAAGCTCTTTGGAAGGCAAAGAGGGAGGCAAGATGTTTTTGCCCCTGAACTTTCCCTCAAGGAAACACAAAACAAACCACCCAATCCCAGACTCACCTACGACGGTGAGGACCTCGTTTTCAATTTCCGCCGTGATGTGTATCCTGCCCCGGCGCTCAGTGTGGTCCGTGCCGCAGAGACTTGGTACGTTCATCACGCAGCGTTTGTGGACGTTCATCATGCAGGCTGGTGGAGAGAGAATCGGAAGGAGAGAGTTCAGGTCCCAGAATGGGGATCAAGACATTGTGCTTTGCCTGCCATCAGGATATCATGCATTCCACCTCCTTTAATGGGACGCCACATAGGTTTCTGCTGCTGTTTATTTCTGAACACGTACTAGATTCTCCCCTGCCTTCCGCCTGAAAAATTATATTTATTTCTTTGTTCTTTGGTTGCATTAATATCCCACTTTTTTTCTCCAAGGAGCTAAAGGGGGCACACATGGCTCTCCCCCTCTTCATTTAGTCCCCACAAGAAACCTGTGAGGTAGGTTGACAGGCAGAGACTGGCCCAGGGTCACCCAGTGAGCCTCATGGCCAAGTGGGGATTTGAATCCTAGTCTCCCCCAGGCCCTAGTCTGACCATCTAAAAACCCCTACATGCCATCAGACACCTAGAGGATTGTGGGCTTGAGACCTGATGAGTTCCTGTCCCACCTCAGTTACATCCATCAACTCCTCTAAGATCTCTCCTTCCACCATCTCCATTGCAGTGGTCCCAGAGAGCTACTCTGCAGTATTATTATCATTAAGTAGATTCATTAGCCGCCATTTTTTGCCATGGCAACTCTAAGCGACTTACAAAATAACTTACCCAAAACAGAAACATGCAAACATTAAAACCAGGAGGTAGAATGCATTAAAGCATCTCACCCACTCTAAAAAAGCCATGGATAGTTAAAAAAGGTGGAATAAAAATTCAATAAATAAACCATTTAAGAGGATGGTTGTAATTCACACAGTGACCATTAGAGGTCTTCCTATGCCCAATCCATGTGATCCCCCCCCACCCAACAGCAATTCCATCCTGAGAGGGAACAGCATTTCTTCCACCCCCATGAGAGCCTTCCACCCCCCTCTGAAAAGTCCAGCTCTTACTTTGTACGAAAAAGTCACTTTTTTTGAGCGTTCCTTGTTGCAGAGTGAAAGCTCAAAGGGCAACTCAGATGAATCTGGGAAGGGCAAACCAGGGCAATAGATTCTGCTGTTCTTTCTGCTTATTCTTATTTATTGCTTGCATTTATACTCCACCTTTCCCCCCCCCCCATGGTGTCCATGGTTCTCCCCATCTCATTTAATCCCCACAACAACCTTGCAAGGTAGGCTAGTGAGGCAGTGACTGGTCCAAGGTCACACCCAGTGAGCTTCATGGGCTGATTAGGGATTTGCACCCTGGTCTTCCAAGTCCTAGTCTGGCACTCTAACCACGACACCACACTGGCTCTGTAGCTGTGTTGGGAACTGGATCTCCTGTATGCCACATTTCTTGTACCCCAATTGTATTGTTGGAGAGGCAGCACTGGAACCCTTCCTTCCCTATTCCCTCCCTGTAACTGAGGCAGGGGGTTGGACTACCGGACCCCTGAGGGTCCTTTGCAACTCTACAATTCTATGATTCTATGAATCCTGGATCTCCTTGTTCCTCAGATGTTCAATTATCCTTAAATTCAGCTGAGCACCATCACTGTTGTGAGCTTGCCACCACCTCCGCCTGAATTGCTGCATCCCTTTTTAATTCTCTCTCCTTCCTTCCTTCCTTCCTTCTTTCCTTCCTTCCTTCCGTACTCCTCCTTCCCTCCTTCATTTGTCTCCTCCGCTCTTGAATTCTGAATTGCAAGGGGCTCAAGACAAGGACATGTCTCCTTTTTCTTGTGTTTTCTCCTGTGTCCTTGGATGGTCCTATACAAACAAACACCAGCAACCATGAGGCTGCAACATCTTCACAGCTGCCTGTTCCACTTCTTGCAACTGAGGCTTCACTCAGATTACCTTTGTAAACACAGCAAAGCCTCCGCTGGTGGATTTGACCACACCAGCTCTGCACAAACAAGGAGACTTGTAGCCTTCATCAAAGGGTGTGGTAGCATTGAAAGGAAAAGGTCAACATATGAGATTTATTGATCCAGCAGGGGAGGAGGGTAGCAGCTGCGTCCTAGAGAGAAAGCAAGCAGACCGACTCCTGCTTCTGTCACTGTCTGGGGGTAGCAAGAGGTAGCAGGAAGGCCATAGCCTAGTGGTTAGAGCATGGGTAGACAAACTAAGACTCAGGGGCCGGATCTGGCCCAATCGCCTTCTAAATCCAGCCTGCGGATGGTCCAGGAATACCATGTTTTTACATGAGTAGAATGTGTCCTTTTATTTAAAATGCATCTCTGGGTTATTTGTGGGGCATAGGAATTCATTCATATTTTTTTTCCAAAATATAGTCCAGCCCCCCACAAGGTCTGAGGGACACTGGACCGGCCCCCTGCTGAAAAAGTTTGCTGACCCCTGGGTTAGAGCATCTGCTTTGCATTCAGAAGATCCCAGGTTCAAAATGGTTTAAAATTCTGGAGGGACACTGTTGGGGGATGTAGAGAGCCAGTAGCCAAAGTAGTGCCTGCAGATGCTACAGAAAACAACTCCCACCATCCCTATCTGCAGGACATGCTGGAGGGGTCTGATGGGAGTTGTAGTCCATAACATCTAGAAGGTGCCTCGTTGGCATGCTAAGCTAGATGGGCCAATGGTCCTGACTTCATAAAAGGCATAGCAATCTAGCTCCGTATTGTCTACACTGACTGGCAGCAGTCGCTCCAGGGTTTCAGGTGGGAGCTCTCGCAGCCCTACCTAGAGATACCAATGGGGATTAAACCTGGGACCTTCTGCATGCACAGCAGATGTTCTACCATAGAGCTATAGCTTTTCGCTTAAAAATAAAGCAAGATTCCAGTCCTCATGGTTCAGAATTATGGAATGATTTTAATATGGCACCAAAATCTGCCATATACAGAGCCAGACTTTAGTCCATCTAGCTCAATATTGTTCACACTGGCTAGCAGTGACTCTCCAAGGTTTCGGACAGGGCTCTCTCCCTTTCTGGCCTGGAGATATCATTGGGGATTGAACCTTATGGGGCTCCCCAATAGCTCAAGAGTGCCTCTCCCAACATGGACCCTGTGCTCTTCATCGGAGGCCCTTCTTTGTGTGCTGAGGGTGGCAACATGAGAAAAAGCCTTTTCAGTAGTGGCCCCTCATTTATGGGATGCTGCCATGGAGGCATGCCTGGCAGCATCACTGGCTGTTTTTAGGTGCCAGGCAAAACCGGTCTTTTCACCCTGGCCTTTGGGATCTTAATTTTAGGAACATATGAAACTGCCTTATACCAAACCAGACCATTGGTCCTTCTAGTTCAGCACTGTCTACACCAGGGGTTGTCAACCTGATCCCTACCACCCACTAGTGGGTGTTTCAGGATTCTAGGTGGGCGGTAGGGGGTTCTACAGCACAAGCTGAATCCTCCTTCCATCGAGCACTGGTGGGCGGTAAGGAAATTTTACCATCATGAACCGCATTAGTAGGTGGTAGGTATACAAAGGTTGACTACAGCAGCAGCTCTCCAGGATTTCAGACTGGGTTCCCTACCAGCCCACCAGTAGATGCTGGGGATTGAACCTGGGACCTTCTGCATGCAAAGCAGATGCTCTAACCACTAGGCTACGACCCTTCCCCAACTGAATTTTAGTGGTGTAGTCTGGAGGGTTGGGTTGGTATATATATATTTATTTGTGTATTTTAGGCTGTTTTATCCTGTCTTTATACTCATTTTTAAATGTTCGTTTTTTTGTAAATCGCTTCAAGTTTCTTTTTTGGAAAAAAGCAACGGTTTCCTTCACTAGGATGATAAAACCAGCCAAGTCTAGCACCGGGTGCATTAAATCCCCACTCTCCCCACCCAAGCAACACAGTTAATCCACAATACTCTGGAGTGATAAAGTGGGATCATAAGGACTTTGCTGCATCCACAAAGAAAATTGTGAATCAGACTCCAGATGCTGCGATTGGGTCATATATCTCTCAATGCAACAGGACTTACTGTCACATTTCATCCCCTGGTGGATGAGTCCATACAACAAGGATCCACAGTGGTCGCAGAAGGTGGGGCTGGAGTACGTGTGGATTTTGAACTTGTGTTTGCTCCGTGGGTCCTGGAGAAAAGAGACAAGACAGAAGAAAGGAACGATTGGTTAAGTGCTGGGCTTTGCCTATAAATGCAAGTCACTGATATGCATCAAGAGCATTACATTTATATGTGTCAGGGGCTGGACTGAGGAGGAATGGTAGGGGCCGCCCCACCCCTTCTCCTGAACCTTCCTGAGAACAGGAGGACAGTATAGATTTAGAACAGTGGTTTGCAGAAGGTCATGGTTCAGAGGCTGCAGTGGGGAGAAGCTGAGAAATATTGAAAGACGAACAGTGGGAAGAAGAAGAAGAAGCACCAGGGGAGAGACAGCTGACAGACTCAGTGTCCTGGAAAGCATTCCTGGACCCCCCCCCCCCGCCTCTCCCAGGACCAGGCGAGCATTGAAAGTAGTAGAACATAAAGCTCAGAGGCAGAAAGCTCAGATTAGCCGATGCAGGTGTGGCGTAGAATAGGAGAGATGGGGGGTGTTACTTGGATTAACGCTATTACCCCCCCAAAAAAAGTTCAACAACTTTGGCTTCACCCCTTGCCCCCCCTTCAGTGGTAGATCACTTCCAGAATTTTTATAGTGGGAGCAGATTGCAGTCTCTTGGGAGTTGGACGTGCCTGATCTAGGGGATACTGCACTCCTTCGTCTCTCTGAATATTGAATAAATTGAATAAATTGCTGAATATTGAATAAATTGCCATATTTTTCTGTGTATAAGACTCCCCCGTGTATAAGACACCCCCTATTTTTGGGACTCAAAATTAAGAAAATGCACTATGCACTATCCATGTATAAGACAACCCCTTATTTTAAACTTCAAAAATTTAGGGGAAAATATAGTCTTATACACGAAAAAATACAGTACTTGGTGAGAACTTTTATCATTTCTCTGCTTCTTGGCTGCCACTGTGGGAGGGATCTGATTCCCCGAAGCCTGACAATATACCCTCTCGACGGTTTCCATCTGTGGAACTGGCACTGCTGAAAGTGCCACATGAAATCTGTTCTGTACCTACCCTTTGGAACTCCCTGCCTGTTGACACCAGGCAGGTGCCTTCGCTGCCCACATTTTTGTTTAGACAAGACTGCCTAGATATTTAGATGGCTGATACTTTTTCAGTCTATTGTTGGTTTTACTAATCATCTTACTGTGCTATTCTTTTGTAAACTGCTTTGAGGTTTCCTGCAATCAAGTTTATGAATTTATGAAATAAATAAAGCCTAATCTATCTTCAATAATGTGAGGCACATTTTTGCAGATGCCAGCTTTCTTCGCAGGAGCTTGGGGCTATTTTATTTCCCCCGCTCCCTAACAAACACCCTGCGAGATAGGCTAAATTGATTACAGAGCAAAATGATCAAGGCCACCAAGAGATGCTTTAGCAGGGGATCTGAATTCAGAACCATGCCCAATATTCACTTCCAAACAAACAAAGAGGAATATTAGCCCATTAGTGACTTTGTCAGACCGTCCCAATGAATGAACGGTGCCAAATCAATGCACAAACCTCTGCAATATATCCTCCGCCCTTTTTTGTTTTTTTACAAATGGAAAACTGAGCCTAATAGGCAATATGGCATCCCACAGTTGCACAACACCAGGCAAGAGCTCCAGGCAATAAAACTCAAATCCAGACCTGGAGAAGATCTTCTAAAATGCCTTTTCATAGAATCATAGAACTATAGTGTTGGGAGGAATGCCAAGGCTGATCTAAACGGCTTCAATCCTGTATACCTGAAGGAGCGTCTCCACCCCCATCATCCAGCCCAGACACTGAGGTCCAGCTCCGAGGGCCTTCTGGCGGTTCCCTCGCTGTGAGAAGTAAGGTTACAGGGAACAAGGCAGAGGGCCTTCTCGGTAGTGGCTCCTGCCCTGTGGAAAGCCCTCCCAGCAGATGTCAAGGCAATAAACAACTATTTTACTCTTAAAAGACAACTGAAGACAGCCCTGTTTAGGGAAGTTTTTAATGTCTGACACTGTATTGTTTTTAATATTCGGTTGGAAGCTGCCCAGAGTGGCTGGGGAAACCCAGCCAAATGGGAGGGGTATAAATAAATTATTATTATTATTATTATTATTATTATTATTAGTCCAAGCCCCGACAATGCAGGAATCACTGCTAGCACCGCCCACCCCCCATTGCTCTCCAAATGTGTCAGACCACAACAGAGTTCTCATAACTACAATTTCCAGAGTTCCTTGCAAAGAGGGATTGATTATTAAACCACTCTGTGAACTGAAGCTCTGGGAGGGAACTAGGGGTCTCCTAACAAGCACCCTTTACAAACTACAGCTCCCAGAGTCCTTTGGGGGAAACCACAACTGTGTATAGTGGTATTTTAGTGCTTTAAATGTCTGGTGTGAAGCTGGGCTCCATTAACTCATTTTTCTACAGGATGGCACCCCATCAGCCCTGGCTGCTGTGGTCAGATGCTGCTGTGAATTGTGGTCCAAAACATCTGGAAGGCAACAGGCTGGTGACAGATGCCTCAGGCAATGGGCTTCCGTGTGTGTGTGTGTGTGTGTGTGTGTGCACGCGTGCGTGTGTCCATTCAAATTCCCATCTAGCGGACCATTTGGGCTGGCTGCCCAGCCAGGAAGCTCATATTGGAATAGCCGCTATCTCTCAACCAAACTGAACATACAAAGTTGTTTTGAGGATAAAATGCAGGGCAGGCAGGGGGAATTAGCAAACCTTGCAGACATCCCTGAGGCTCCTTGAAAGGAGGACAGGATACAAATTCAACAACAATAATAAAGACTTCATGAAAAAAGTGAGAACGGAGGAGGGATGTGAAGCAAGGCACCAATAATAATAATAATAATAATAATAATAATAATAATAATAATAAATTTTTATTTATACCCCGCCCTCCCTGGCTAGAGCTGGGCTCAGGGCGGCTAACACCAGTAAAATTACAATAAAAACTTCATAGGGGAGGGGGGAAAAACAATTTAAAATACAGGTTAAAAATACAATTTAAAATGCAGTCTCATTTTAATAATAACCCATAGATCAAAACCATAAGGAGAGGGAAACATAAGGGTCAGACTGAGTCCAAACCAAAGGCCAGGAAGCTCTGTCTTGCAGGCCCTGCGGAAAGATGTCAAGCCCTAAACTAAGAACAGAAGGACACAAGAAGATCAGGCCAATCACTCATCCTAGTCCAGCACCCTGTTCTCACATTGGCTACCCAAATGCCTGTGGGAAGCCAGCAAGCGGGACCTGAGCTCAAGAGCCCTCTCCCCTCCTGTGGTTTCCAGTAACTGGTATTCAGGAGCATTACTGCCTCTGATTGTGAAGGCAGAGCAGAGGCATCTTAGCTAGTAGCCCTCAATGGCCTTCTCTAATCCCCTTTTAAAGCCATCTGGGTTGGTAAGCAACGCTGCTCTTGTGGCAGTGAGTTCCGTAGTTTAACTCTGCACAGTGTGAATGAGGACTTATCTCTCCCAAATCTTCCAACATTCCGCTTCATTGGATGTCCATGAGTTGAACGGAGTCCACTCTGCGGGGTCCTCCTTGCTTTTCGACCTCTTTCTTCTCCTGCATTAATCAGTGTAATGCGCTGCGCTCTCTCCCCGCTAACGAGCGACATTAGGGAGATAGGGACTAATGGAACTTCACTTAATTCAACCTGCTTAAGTGCAGCGTATCGGGCACGGGCAGCGATGAAAGTTAATTGCATCGGAAAACTCAGAGGCTTCACCCCAAAGCAAACCTCTTTCAGATTCATAAATGCTCGGAAGATGCTCCTTTTAACGACTGAGCTAGCAGCTGGGTAATGAGACGCCTGAGAAAATGGGGGTTAACAACAATTAACCTGTCTTCAGCAAACCTTCAGATACAAAAAGCGCATTCATTAAGTCAGAACATACTTAGAGAAATCTCCGCTTCTAAGGGAGATAGTATTCTTTTTTAAGGCAAGTGATGTGCTTATACTCGAACCTGAGTTTGGTGAAAAGGTCGTAGGTCAATACTTGGGGGAACCACTGATGTAGCCCTTCATAGCCTAGAATCAGATAATAATAGAAATATAGAGTTGGAAGAACCATCTAGTCCAACCCCCTGCAATGAAGGAATAGCAGAAAGAAAGGAGATTCTGAAGAAACCTTAGGAAGAACTTTCTGATGGCAAGAGGTGTTTGACAGTGGAATGGACTCCCTTTCAAGATGGTGGGCTCTCCTTCACTGGAGGTTTTCAAGCAGAGATTGAATGGCCACCTGCCAGAGAGTCTCAAGCTGAGATTCCTGCATTGCAGGGGGATGGACTAGAGGACCCTTGGGGTCCCTTCCAATTCTACTATTCTATGACACCTCACAGAAGAAGCAAAAGGTCTGCAGCTACTGCTTCTGTGTACTGCTTCCCTGCAGTTCCCACTGCCCAGGTAGGATTGGGAGTGGGCAGGTGTGGGGAGAGAAAACTTCCCCCACCCGCCTCAGTAGAGGAAAACACAGTGGTACCTCAGGTTACAGACACTTCAGGTTACAGACTCCGCTAATCCAGAAATAGTACCCCAGGTTAAGAACTTT